GGCGGCACAACCTCGAAAACCCTAACCGCGTTTCGATCCTCATACATCAAAGTGCGTCTGCCATGAAATGCAAGTTGTCAAACACGAAGGACGAGCTCACTGTTCCATGCGAAGGCGGAACTCGTCACGGAGAGCGAGAGCGGCCTCGGTAACGCCGGCCTGGGACACTGGATGGATCAGGTTCTGCAGACCAAGGTCAATCAGAACCGGATTCCCGTTCGAATCGGGTTCCATCATAACCCCTCGTCCATGTCAATACCAGCCTCGAGGAGAAGATTGTGCACGATGCACACGGATAAACTGTTGAGGGAGGTTTTTCATATTCGTCTTGTGGTGACGAAGGAATAACCTCCACATACCCTTCAGCCTTCCAAACGTCCTCTCCACCACCCCTCTCGTCGTTTTCTGCCTTGTGTCGAATAGGGCGACGTCCTCGGTCTGGTTCAAGCCCCCGTAAGGAACTACAATCCACGTACGCGGAGCGTAACCGTTGTCCCCGAGCAGGTAACCTGTAGTTGTGACACCACCTGGTTGGGAGACCACGTCAGCGTTGAAAATGTCCCCTGCTTCGGCGCGTTTGAAGAGAGACAAGTTCCGTAGAACGCGCGCATCGTGGACGCTCCCGGGGTAACCAGCGAAGACGTCCAACACGCGCATATCCAAGTCCACGACAACCTGCGGCGCTGCACCACCACTGAGAATTGTTGTTAACTTGGCGATCGAAGTAGTTCTCGGATGGTCCATTTGCAAGTTTATCGACATAAATGTGGGTGCAATCGATTGCACCCATGCAATTGGGGAAACCCTTTCCTGCGAAAGCACGCAGAATTTGGAGATGACGTCTGCCTGTCGGCATGGCGATCTTGCCCGGGTAGGCTGCCAAGATGGCGCTTGTCACGTCCCTCACCATGTTGTTGCCAGTGGCCCTTCCAATGCCGAACACTGACGTGCTGTTCTCGTAAGTCTCACCCCTCGCCCACCTATACAGCGCGTACGCGACTTTGTGGTCCAGCTGGAGCGGCTCGCGGTAGTGGGTTAGCTGACGTTGAAGGAAAGGAGCGCAGGCGGCGACGATGTCATTGAAGACGGTCCTCCACATGCGCAGCTTGTCATGATAATAGTCCGCTGTCGCATCGTCTGAGATGACGAAGTCGTTCCATGTGCCGCCTGTCCTGCGCTTCACCCACCATCGCGGAGGCTCTCTCGGAAGCACCCCTGCGGTGATGGCATTGCTGAGGAGGAATGGCGCGTCCCAAACACTCGGTGAGGAATGCACGTCCAACAACGCCTGCCCGATGGCCGCCTCCCTAGTCGTCTTCTGTCTGGCAAAACCCTGCAGCACATTGTTCACCGTCTGAAGATGGCGGCACACCACGACCAATGATGCCACCAACAAACTCTTCTCCTGGACTGCCAGTTCCCTTCCCCTCCGTCCCTCCGCCCCCGTGTGCTCCATAGTTGATGAACACCGACTGACGTGTCTCCGCTCCCGTGCGCGACGTGTTGCGGTTGTCATCGCTCACAACGATGGCCGTCCTAGCTTCGCTCACTCCACAAGGGCTTGGACACCACGACCGCAGCTGTTATGTAGGATATGGGGCACGCTCGTTTTTCTGCTTCGCGGTGGCGGCGGCCGCTGAACACGAGACCGGTTTTGAATTTCAAATGGAGCGGAGTCGGAGAGGCATTCGGGCGGGCGTCCTGGGGTTAGGAAGGAGGAACGGGTGGTTTGCGCCGTCGAGCTCAAATCCAAACCCGACTTGTCCCATGTGCCCAAAACGGCCAGACAACATTCCGTCCAGCACTGCTCCTGGCAGGATGCCTGCCAACGATAGGCTGCCAACTTGTGGCTGTTGTCCCTTATGGCAACTCCGTCGGCGGTTTGGCTCGCCGAACATGGGCTTAACATTGATTTAACATGTGTGAGATGTGGCTGGGCTTTCGAATCCACCATTCACCTTTGGTGGGATTGCCCAAGGTCTGTGAGGCTCTGGAAATGGATCGCTTCTATATGGGACAGAATCTCGGGCCCAGCCTTCCCATGGTCGAAATTGTGGGTTCTATTGGGAGGGATTCCATATGGTTTTCCTATTGCCAAGGGTTGGGGCTATGTAGCGTAGACCATACGGGCAATGGGTGTCTCGGTTATCTGGCAAGAACAGAATGATAGAGTATTTGAGAAGAAGGAGTGGTCCAACAAACAGGCAAGAGCCACCTTTCTGAGAAATCTCAAGATTGCAATATTGGTAGACTGGCGGCGAAAAGTGACTACCTCTGCTAGAGATTCGTGTGGTTTGGGATGGTTTCGTGAAACGTGGTGTCTCCAAAACTCGATTGCGTCGATTGAGAGTTCCGAAATACCGGCTCTGAAGGATTGGTTATTTAAGGAAGAAACGTAATAGCCATGGTACAATAACAAACCTAATTCGCTCGGGCTTGGTCGCGGGTAGACAGGCGGGGGGAGTGACCGAGGTGGGAGCTTGATATGTCCTTTGCAAGGATCCTTGGGGTTCCTTGTGGTCGCTTTTAGACCACTTATAACGTAGATTAGTAATGCAATTGGAACAAGGTAGGTATACATAATAGATAGGCCACAAGACTCTACTGTTCATTCTTAAGGTGGTAAATTGTTGGGTTTTTGTTCCCAGCGCAATTAGTGTTGATTCTTTTGTTTTTTAAAAACTTATTTGTAATAGGATAGTAGGTAGTGTATCTCTCTGGTAGTTTCCCTCGTTTTTGCTTTTATTGGTTCAGATCATTTTTTGGATTGTTCGGAAAGGCAGATCCTCCGAATGGGTCAAATGGAAAGGAAACGACTAAAACAAAGAAGAGGGAGGAAGAGAAGGACGAGGGTGAGAAAGAAGGAGGAAAAGAGAAGCTGGAGGGAAAGAGGCATGGAAGGGAGAAGGGGGAAAAGGGGAAAGCCAAAAAGAGGGCAAACAGAGGAAGGTTGTGGGCTTATTGAAGAAGAAATGGGTGAGTAGAGGTGTGAAAGCAAGAGAAAGGAAAGAGAGCAGGGAGGAGGAGAAAGAAAATCAGAATGAAGGGAGAAAAGCAGAGAAAGATTTGCCAAAGGATGATGAAAACACAGTGATGAAGATGGACGAAGCCTCTTCGGAGGCAAGCGAAAGTGAAGGAAGTACAAAGGAAGAGGAGGATAGAAGCGGGACCGATGGAGGGAAAGATTTGCAGTCCAGGGAAAATGAAGGAAAGGGGGAACGAGAGGAGGGAGAGGAAAAKGACTCAGAAGGAAAAATTCTGGAGGAAAAAGGGGATAGTGAAATGGTGGTGGAGGAATCGAAAGGGGAGGGTAAAAGTGTGCTAAACRCTAACGCAGCAAGTGCCTCACTCTTAATTTCGGTAACAGTGGTGGAAGAAACGATAATGAAAGTTCCTGAAGAGTGGAGTGTTTTTCAAGTACCGGAAAAACCTGCAGAGAATCGTTTCGCAGATGCACAAAACCAATTGGGCTCAGAAGAGATTTCACAAATGAGAAATGAAGCGGAGGTGGCCCCCCCTTTCTGTGGGAACAGAAGGGGAAAAAAACGTCCTTCATTCAAATCAGGCAGGCGTGGTGGAATCCCCATTGAATTTCCCTGCGAAACGCTCCCTGCGTGGTCACTCATGTTCTAGCTCAACAGCTAATAAGGACTCAGCCTATCGTGGTCATTCAAGGAAGAAAGTGAAACTTAGTGAAACACAGGCCAAATCCATATACAATACTGATCCGACATTGGAGCCATTGGATCAAACGCATAAGGAAACAGCCAGAAAGAAGAGGTCACAGGCTGAAAAGTTAATTCATCAAGCCCTCTCAATGACAGCTCGTATGAAAACTCTTATGAGACACGAAAAGAAGAGTCAATTAAAGGTTCCGATGAAGGAAATGCTAGTTCCTCTGATCCTGTCGCCATCCCCCTAGGGGGTGATGGTGTTGACAAAGCTAACAGACAAGGAGGAGTTAGAACTCTCTACAATCCCAGTGTCCTGCCAACCAATGGAAGAGGAAGCTCGAAAGTTGGCAAAACGCAGGGTGCTGAATGG